AGGGGCCAGGGGCACAAGGGTGCTCAGGGGCAGGTCTGGAGGGGCTCCAAGGCCTCCTGCCCTCTGGCAATGGCCGCTCACCACCTGTCCCTCGACAGTGTCCAAGTCCAGGGCCTTGGACACTCGTGTCCCCTGGTGTCAGCAGCATGCCAGCACCCTGAAGGAGACAGCCCTCCGGCAGGACTGCTCGACAGACCCCACACACGTGTGACCCACAGGCAGGGGACCTGCCTCCTCTGACCCCGACGTCCGCACTGAGCAACACACCAGAGCCTGGCCCTTCCCACTCACCCACAACTGCCCATTACACCCGATCCCTTTTAGTAGGTTCCCCAGGGTCCTGGAGGCAGGGCACCCCCAGGCCAGCCGGCCCTGACTTCATCTGGTTCCTGCACCCCAGGCCCAGACCCCTGCCCCCCCGGGGGCCCTGCACCCACCCCCAGACACCACCCCAGGTCCCCGCACCCCCGATCCCGCACGTCCAAACCGCGCGCCCGCCCCTGCGTCCCTCTACCCCGCCCCATCGCCAGCCCTGCAGCCCCGGCCCTGCAGGCGCCAACACAGCACCCCACGGCCCTGCACCCCTCGCCCTCCCCCCGCCCCCGGCCCCGCGCCGACCCACCTGGGGCAGCCGCGGTGCCTTCGTCGCTCTGGTTAAACTCGAAAAGGAAATCGAAGTCGAACTCCTGGTCCTCCTCCAGCCCTGTCATGTTGGGACGGGCCAGGTCGGGCTGGGGTCCGCGGAGGGGCCGGGGCCCGGGGTCTGGGGTCAAGGCCCCGGCCGGCTTAGGTCGGGGTCTGGGGTTTCGGGGCCGGAGTCCTGGCCTAGTCAGGGGCCGGGCCCCGGGTCAGGGTCGGTCGGGGCCGGGGCGGGGGTCGGGCCGGGGCCGGGCCGGGGCCGGGGCCGGGTCGGGGCCGGGGCCGGGGCCGGGGTCGGGGTCGGGGTCGGGGTCGGGGTCGGGGTCGGGCCCGCCTCGGGGCCCCGGCCGCCGCACCTGTGGTCGCGCCGCCCCGGCTCGGCTACGCCGGGCGCCCGGCCGCGCGTCCCCGGGTAACGTGACTCCCGCCCGCGCCCCTCCCCCGCCCCCGCGCCCCTCCCCGCCCCCCTGCCGTTTCCGGGTTGACACAAACAAGCGGCTCCCCGGCCGCGGGCTTCCGAGTTTTAAATAAACTCTCCGGGCAGCCGGGCAGCCGGGCGCACGCGGCTCGCTCGCGTCCCCCGCCCGCGCCTCCACGTGCACCCCGGCCCGCGCCCCGGCGGCCCGGGCGGGGGGCGGGGGGCGGGCCGAGAGCCCGCGGGTGGGACCCCCGCCCGCGCCCCGCGCGCCCCGCACGCCCCGCAGCGGCGCGAAGGTCGAGACTGGCTCCGGAGAGAGGGCCGGCTGCAGCGAGCCTGCTGGGGCTGCGGACGGGGTTCGGGGCGCGGGGCCTCCTCGGCGCGCGCAGTTAGCGCGCCTCGGCTGCGGCCTGAGTCCACAACGTGCACGTCCGCCCGAGCGCGGACCCGCAACCCCGGGGCAGCCCGCCGGCCCCGTAGGCTGCTCTGCCGCTCGGAGCAAGCGACGCCCCCTTCCCAGCCCCACGGCTAAACACGTCACCCGAAAGTGCCAGGAAAACGGGAGTCCCCGTGGGGCTGGAAATGCTCTCCCTCGCACCGCGGGGCTGCGCCGGTGCTCGCAGCCACCGCGCTTTGAGCTCCGGCAGCGGCCACGCGGCTTCCTTGGAACCCCGTTCACTGTGGCCCCGCAGCCTCTTAGATTCACGTCCGCGCTCGCACGTGTCCACAGGTAGCTGCGGAGCTTGCAGAGGCTGAGTGCGGGGCATGCAAACCCGAGGCTAGGACACGGAGCAGCCTGGCCACAGCAAGCGGTCGGTACAGGCCCGGCCCGGCACCATTCTTGCCTTACGTCCTTTCCCCCAGCTGTTTGCGCTGACTGCCCCCAGTGTCTTGGCACCATGCGCAGCCGACATCTGGAACAGCAGGGGGACGACTTCATGGGACTCGAGAAAAAGGGGGTCCAGGCGTCCATTTCTGCACTCTGCTGCCGATGAGCACGCGCCCTCTTCTCTGCCCTGCAGGCCCTTTGGCCCTGCGGGTGTTGCTCTTTCCGGAAGCAAATAACCTGCAAATCACTTGCCCCCCCCCACCATGCTTCTCTCCCAGGACCCTTTGCAAATGGCTGGTTTTCTCCAGTGATAAACTAGGGTTCACTTTGGCCTGATTTAGTTTCTAATAATAGTCCTCACTTTGAGATGTATGTTGGAGGGTTGTTGTGTTTTAGTTAGCTTTTTTGCTGACCTTCGGGCAAATAGAGTCTGTTCTGTTGAAAAGCAGCACTTCATTTTCTCTTTCCAGTTGTTTTCCCCGAGGCCGCCTCTAATCCCCACCAAAAATTTACATGGAAGTAACAGCCCTTGACATCACTGTAGACTGCAGCTTTTTGTTCAAGGTTGGAGAGCAAGTGGGTTCACACTTCTGCATGCACAGGTGCCCACCCAGTTCCCACCTGGCCACGGGGATGGGGGCTCAGCCCCCGCTCTGCCTAAGGCTGAGCTGCCCCCACCTGGTTTCGGATCCCCAACCAAAGTAGCCAGATGCGCAGGCCAGTTTTCTAACTGCTCCTCTCACCAGCAACCCCCCCCCCCCCCGCCAGCACTGCCGAGCCTTCCAACTGGTACCGGGTTTGGAGCTACTGCCAATTCAGCAGACGCTCCTGTCCCGATGAAGATGTTTAGCTTGGCGCTTCCTCTCGCGGCTGCGGGTGTTCACGGCGCACAGAGCCCCCGCGCTGGGTGTGAGCAGGGCGCTAGCACCGCGGCCTTTTCTAATCTGGATTAGGAAACAAGGCCACGAAGTTAAGTGTCGGGAGAACAGAGCGCGCTTTGTTCTGCTCTGGAGAGCCCTGGGGCATTCTGTGTGGAGCAACCTCGGAATGGGTGGGTGGGTGGCTACCTACAAGGCCTTGCATTTCTCTGCATTCTCCACGCGGAAAAACAAGCACAGGGCCTTCAGAAACAACAGTGCTTAATGAGCTTCAACCCAGATGCTCATTAGACTCGAGGGAAGTGCTGGGGCATCGAGCACATTCTCACATGGGCAGCTGATGCCTTAGTCAGGCCTTGGGGAGAGGACAGATCACGTCCCCCAGCGCCCGGCCAGGCAGGCGCTGACCTGCAGGAGCCGCGCGCCTCTCATCCCCTCAGCCTGGGTCTGGGAAGGACTCCATCACACTTTCTGTTGCCTAATGTTGCAGCTTTTAGAAAACATCCCCACATTCACCGAGTTTACTCAGTGCACCTGGGCGCTACCTCTGCAGAGGCCCTTTCAAATGCACTTTCTTAAGTAGGAAACAGGAAGAATCACCAGCACCCCCTAGATGGTTTTTTTCTTGTAAAAGAAGAGATTATTGCGGGATGGACCACCGACTGTTCAAGTCAAGAAATCTAAACTTTGAAAGACCTGCGTTTTTTAAAGCAGTGTTAAAAAATATGTGGGCAGGGCGCCTGGGTGGCTCAGTTGGTTAAGCGACTGCCTTCGGCTCAGGTCATGAGCCTGGAGTCCCGGGATCGAGTCCCGCATTGGCGGGCTCCCTGCTCAGCAGGGAGCCTGCTTCTGCCCCTGACCCTCTCTCCTCTCATGCTGTCTCTCACTCTCTCTCTCAAATAAATAAATAAAATCTTTAAAATATATATATATGGGCAGACTTTGAAAAAGGTGTCCAAGAAGTTAAGACCAAAACCTCAGCACATTTTTTAGAAATTGTTCTAATAGCAAGAGCTCGTCCCATAAATATTACCTGTTGCTTACATTTAAATATTTCCTAAACTGGGATGAAATGGTAAGAAACATACCTCTTCCTTCACTGATACAAAATATGGAGAAAATAACTGATCTCCTTTTATTGAGGGTACACCTGGGGCTCATCCCGGTTAGGGACAAGGACTTTCTCCAAGCTGCCCGTCTTGGAGGACAGCAGTTCTAGGGCCACTGGGGGCCCTTAGCAGGAAGGTGCCAGAAGCAGCTGCTCCCCAGAAGCCTGTCTGCCCTCGGAAAATAGTCCTCACTACACACTGGCAAGTTTGCCAGGTTTCTTAAAATAATTTAAATAAAATCCTCCCGCACTGATGAGGCATTTGGAAAGATGTCTCCCAGTTTCTGGGGCGCATTTGCTATCCCGATCCCTAACCGGGATGTCGGTGGCCCCTTGCGGAGGCTGTTTTCAGACGCCTGCAGGAGCATCCCCGGGGGGAGCTCCAGGCTGCTCGGCCAGGTGGGTGGGGTGAGGGGACTCTGCGAGGCTCACTGTCGGGAGTGGCTTTGGGACAGACACTTATGCACCTTCGTGACTACCAACGAGCGGCGTGCAACTTGGCGGTCCCTTTTCACGCTGTCCTGAATCACTTCCTACGGCTGGAACTCACGTCTGTGAGGTTGCAAAATGGCTTGAATTAGGGGCTGCGTCCAGACAGCACGTCTGATGCCCTTAGCCCTGCGGGTCGCGCCACCAGCCTGACGGCCCCCGGGACGGGGAGAGACTCCGCCCCCGGCAGGGCTCGGGGAGGGGCGCGGACCCCCCACTTCACGTCGCGTGGCTGGTCTCCGAAGCCACAGGGTGGCCTTGCCCCCCTGGGGACGAAACCGGCCCGGCTTCGTTCCCAAAGAAACCTCACTTCATCGCAAGGCGTCTCTTGCGGTCGTGACGGCCCTAACCTCGCCCGGTCCCCGACCGCCTGCGTTTGAACTGAGTTTCGGCCGCGGATCCGCCGCGAGGCTGCGCTCAGCGCTGGAGAAGAGGAGACACCTATTGGCAAGAAGGCGCTCAAACCAGGGCTGCTCGGGGAACACCAGGGGGACACCGCTTCCCAGTCTGTGCCGCGCGCCCGCCGCCCGCGCCCCTCCCGGCGGCAGACCCTGGCCGCGCCGGGACGCCGCGGGGCGCGGGCGCGGGCGCGGGCGGCGGGCGCGGGGCCCGCGGCGGGGGGCGGCCCGGCCGGCTTACCTTCCTCCGCCGACTTCATGGTGCCGCCGGAGGGCGGCGCGGGCCCCGAAGTTTCTCCGCTCCCGCAGACTGCGGCCGGAGGGCCGAGTGGAAACTTGGAAGGGGCTGGAAATCTGGTACTTGGCATCCACGCGGCGGCGGCGGCGGCGGCGGCGGGGCGCAGGAGGAGCAGGGAGCGCGAGAGGGGAGCGCGAGGCGCGGGCGCTCGGCGCCGCCGCCCCGGCCGGGTCCCCCGGGAGGGCAGCCCCCTGCCCCGGCGGACGCGCGCCCGGAGAGCTGTCACTGGGGGGCTGGCGCGCGCGCGGCGGGCCCGGCCGCGGCCCTGGGGCCCGCGCTTGCTGGCGGCGTGGCGGGGGCTCGGAGGTGTGCTCTCGCGCCCCGGTGCCCGCGCCCGGCCGCCGGATCCGGCGCGCCAACTGCGCCGGCGAGTTCGGAGTCCTCCCGGTCTCGCTCTGACGCAGGGCCGCGCTCTGCCTCCGGCCCTTTTAAAGCTGGAAAACACCTCCCCCGCCTCCCCGCCGGCCCGGCCGCTCCCGCGCCCCCTCCCTGCCGTGACATCACGCCCCCGCCCGAGCCGGCGCAGGGCCCCGCGGACAAGTCGCCGAGCTCCGGCCCTCCCCGCGCCGGGCCGCTTCCCGCCCGGCCCGCTGGGCGCACTGGGGGCGGGCGGCGGCTCCGGCTGCCGACGGGGGCGCGCGGGGGGCGACCGGGGGCGCGCGGGGGGCGGCGGGGGCGCGCGCGGGGGGCGGGGCGCGCGGGGGGCGACTCGGGCGCGGCCGGAGATCGAACCGGCCCGGACGCCGGGGTCCGGCCGTGTCCTAAGGGAGTCGCACTCTGCTTTAATGAGGGGGCGGAAGGAGCAGGAGACCGGGGGGGCCTAGAGAGCCCTGCATGCTGAAGTCATTATGCAAAATCGCAGGCTTCCCCCGCGGTGGAAATTTGGAAAAGCGCTTCCCCTGGCAGGCCCGAGAAAGGAAATTCCCATCCCGCTAAATTGCTAACAGATTGCATGCAGTCCCGGGACGTGGACTTATTGTCACTTTTACTCTGTAAATATCTGAGCGACCCAGATTGCCTGTTGCGTGAGCTCGCGGGTGGGGGTGGGGGTGGGGGGCCGGGAGAACCGAGAGCGCAGCGCCCCGGGCTGCCAGCCGCTAGCCCGGCCGCCCCGGGAGGGCCTGGGGCACTTGCGGGCGCCACTCCGGGGCTTCCCACCGACGGGGGAGGGGTCTGAGGCTGAGAGCTGGTTCCGGGGAAAGGCTCCGCAACGCCGCCGGTTCGCTTCACACTTCCCAAAACCTCCTGCCTCTCCTCGGCGCAGTTCCCGGGCCAAACCGGACCGTATTGTCGTGTTGGCCTTGGACGCAAGGGGTTGAGCGTTAGGGCGGCTAAACTGTCTGGTGTCTGAAAATCATAAATCTGCTGCGCGACACCCTCATGTCGTTTCAAATAACCCCAAAGCAAAGCTGTGTCTGCCGCGGGGACCCAGGAGGCCTGCGGGACGCCTGTGGGTGCCCCAGATGCCCCCGGGGCCTGGGGGAAGGGGGGGGCCGTGCAACATTTGACCCGTCCGCTGAGTTTCGCTGGTTAATCGGTGCCATATTAGTAACAGGACTAGGACGGTGCCCAGCGGAAGCGGTGCCCACGTCACCACCACCGTCTATGGAGTTATCCAGCACGCTGGGGTCAGAACTGAAATCCTTCTTTCCACCCACGTCTTCGGCCAGGCGGCGGGGGCGGGGGGGGGGACGGGGCCGCCGCGCACTCACGGGTGTCTGGGTGGCTGTAAGGACACTTTCTAGCTGTCCCTACCTGTAGATCTGCTCCCACGCGGTGAACTGGGCCTGGCAGGTGCCTTGGTGCCCCAGACCCAGGGAGAGGGTGACCCCGGGTGGATACCATAGCTGGGGTGGGAGGGAACCTCGCGAGGACGCTGAGATCCGGGGAGACCCCACGAGGATGCCGAAGTTGGGGAGACCCCATCAGGATGCCCGGGGCCCGGGGGACCCCGCGGGGATGCTGAGACTGGGGGACCCCTTCGGGATGCCCGAGGCCCGGAGGACCCCGCGAGGATGCTGAGACTGGGGGACCCCATCAGGATGCCCGGGGCCCGGGGGACCCCGCGAGGATGCTGAGACTGGGGGACCGCTTCGGGATGCGCGAGGCTGGGGGACCCCGCCAAGGCGCTGAGGCTGGGAGGGGGAGGGGCGCGCATCCTGCGTGGGAGGCCGCCAGGGGGCGCCAGGGCCGCGCCGCCCTCGCCCCGCCCTCGCCCCGCCCCTCCAAAGAGGGTGCTGCCGCGGGTCCTAGTGGCCCCGCACCTGGGGCGGGGAGGGGGACAGGGAGGTCAGGCAAGTTGCAGTAAAATAATGACTGACTCCCACCCCCTCCCGCGCGCCCCACCGCGCTGTCACCCGCGCCCAGCCCGGCCTCCCGAGCCCAGGGGCTCCTCCCCGCCTCCCCTCCGCCCCCTCCCCTTCCTCCCCCTCCCCTTCCTCCGCCTCCCCCCTCCCCTTCCTCCCCCTCCCCTTCCTCCGCCTCCCCCCACTTCCTCATCCCTTCCTCCTCCTCCTCCTCCTCCTCCTCCTCCTCCTCCTCCTCCTCCTCCTCCTCTCTCGTAAGTAATTTTCACTCCATCCAGAAAAGCGCCTTTCCTGCCTGCTCTCAATACCCTCCTTATTCCCCCGCCCGGTGACGGAATCCCCGTCTGTTTCCCTGTGTTTAATGCCGTTGCCGGGACCACGGTGGCCGTGCGCCAGGGCGCAGGGAGCTGCGGAGGCGGCGGCAGCTCCGAGGCCGGCGCGCCCCCGTGTCCGGCTCGGGCGGCCACCGCGGCCACCGCGGGGCCCCCGGCCTGCGTCCCGCGGCCGCGGCCCTGCGCTCGCCTTCGCGCCTCTCGGTCCTCGGCCTCCTCTCGGTGTGTTTACAGCTGCTACCAGGAGGGACGTTACACGGGTTTTATTTTAAGGGTTGGTGATGACTAACGAAGTTAAAAGGAGCTTAGGACAGAAAACAAGACTATTTTTAGGTCACTGTTGTTTCTGCGGATTATTGGGGCGAATACACGCAGAGACGCTCGCCGTTTTCAAAATCCCTTTGGATGCCAAATCCTTTCTCTTGGGGCGCCCTGGAGTGTCGCCCACCCTGCTCAGTGTTTTCTGGAGCCCCGGGCGATCCTGTGGCTTGGGTTCGGGGTTGAAGCCCAAGAGCTGTGGAGGCGCGGGCCGCGCTGTCGGGGCTCGGGCACAGGGTCAGGAGGACCCCACAGAGCTCGGCTGGCTGGGGCTGCGCTGCCCGCCTGGGAGACGCGCCTGGCCCGGGGGGCTGCATCCTCCGGGGCGGCTTCGGCACAGGCTGCCCGGGGCAGAGGCTCGTGGGCCAGTGTTCTGGCCGGCACCCCTTCCCCCACTTTCTTCCTGTTCCTCAACTGGACAAGCAGGTGCTGCTCTCGCCCCTGGACGTCACCTCAGACACCCCGAGTGAAGTGTGAGTGCTCTGTCCGTGCTGGATGCACATTCCAAAGCAGAGCAGGGGCTGAACTTCTCCATGCAGGAACAGGGAGCCTCTGGCCCCTCTCCACAGGCAGGTGTGGGTCCTTCCTGACGGCACCCTCTAACCCGCAGGGAGGATGCACCTGGGCTGATCAGAGATGCCAGGAAGTGTGCTTGGGGAATTGACATCCAGCTGGAGCGTGGAGATGGGCATTATCAAGAAATCAGAACCATGGAGGGGTTATTTACTTTTAAGTAAAGGGCTGAGATTTTTAAAAACGCCAGTGCAGCCAAGTCTCACCGTTGGCACTGGAGTTGAGAGAGAAGGAGTTCCCTTTGATTAGACATCTGTGTCAGCACATTCAGACCTTCCTTTCTGGTGTAGGTATTCTCGGAGATCCACGAATTCAGGGTTCTGAGACTCTACCCTGGGCTTTGACTTGCAAAGTATCTCTTTAATCCACTCCATTTCTCTGAGACATGGCAGAGGCCTTTTCTTATTGGCCTCCCTGCCCAAACTCAGCCTGACTACCCAGTCCAGGCACCAGCAGCAGATCTAAAACCTCAGTCATCAATGAATCAGTCCACTTCCCTCCCCTGGACACTTGCCCAGGGCATCAGGGTCAAAGCCACACCGTCCAGCATGGCACCTGATGATCGTCACCCTCCACACCTGGAGCAGGGACTCCTCACCAGGAACCAGTCTCTGTCCCTGGTACCCACCTCCTAGGACTTGGAGTCCTCTCTCTCCACCCGTATTTAGCCCATCTCCAGAACCTTCCTCCAATTCACCTGCCCCATCTGCCCAGGGTCCTCATCACCTCCCTCCCAAGCCTTGGCCCCATCTCCATAGCCCTCTCTCACTTCCTTGTGTGATGGCCTTAGGCGCCTGCTTGTTTTATAGCCTGGAGAATCTTCCATCGCCTTGAAAAGGATGTGTTTCCTGCTATCCCACAGGCCTCATGGTTTGTGCTGCAGTTCGGGTCTCCTGTCTCCTTGCTGGGCTTGGGTGTGTTTGCTAGAACCACGTGCAAAGTGGGGTCTTGGCGTCTCCAGCTCCTAGTGCGGGACTCTGTTTCTCTCTTCTTTCCCTCAGCTTTGTTTCAGGTATTTGGGAGCTCTGTTGTGTTTTCCTGATGGGTTGGCCCTTTTATCATTATCAGACATCCCTCTTCATCTTTAATTACGCTTTTTGTGTTAAAAATCCATTTTGTCTGGCATCAGAATGAGCCTCTGCAGCTCGTGTCCTGCTGCTTTTTGCATGATACACCTTTTCCACCCTCTTGGTCCATCGGTGCCTTTGAACCCAAGATGCACCTCCTGTCTCCTCCTTAAAGTTGGATCGTGGGGTTTTGTTTGTTTGTTTGCTTTGGTCCATTTGATAGTCTCTGCCTTTTGATTGGCTCGTTTGATCGATCTACACTTAGTGTCATTATTGATAGAGTTGGATTTACATCTGCTTTATTACTGTTTTTTGTCTGCTTTTCTTATGTCTTTCTTGTTCTTCTGTCTCCCCTTTATTGCTTTTTTTAAAGCCTAAGTGACTTTTTTTAAAAGTTTCATTTATTTGTTATTTGAGAGAGCGAGCACACGCGTGCAAGGGGGGAGGGGCTGAGGGAGAGAGAATCTCCAGCAGATTCCCCGCTGAGCAGAGCCCGAGTGGGGCTTGATCTCATGACCTGAGATCAAGACCTGAGCCGAAATCAAGAGTTGGACGCTTAACCCCAGGTGCCCTGACTCTTTTCTGATGTAGCGTCTTAATCACAATCAACTTGAGACTTATACCAACTTAATCCCAGTGATGGGTATGAGCACTAGTCCTAGGTAGGTTTATTCTCTTTCCCCTTGTTTTCGATTGTTACATATGGTGCGAGCAGTAATGTTAGGAACTGACAATACCTGTAATTGTATGACTTCTCCGTCTGGATGCATTTCCTTAGCAGGACCCAGCTTTGCCCCACCCACGTCCTTGTGTTGTCATTAATTATAGGCCCAAGGTTACGTCACAGACACGTTGGTTTACAGAGCTGC